GCAATTGCTCTTCTTTTTGCATGCTTTTGTTTCTTTTCCTCAAGGTTTTTTTTTAGAAAGCTTATGAAATCACTTTTCGCTGTGCAAAGTTTTTGACGCAATATGTGTGTTTGTCATACCACAGGTTTCCTAGGAAGGAATTTGTTATTTTATCGATCACTCTTTATATAGTACGTTTGGTTCGATTCCTCAAATTGCTGCAGGAAAGAAAGGGATGATCTGGAACTTAACTTGGAAGAGCTTCGTGTTCAGCATCAGGAACTGACTAATCGAAATGAGGCTATTCAGAAAGATATGGAAGAGTTGAAAAAGTCTTATGCGGAAGCAACTGAAAAACTTCAGTCACTTGAAGATATACATAATCAAGTTGATAGGTAATTTACGTTTATTCTAGATTAAGAATGTGCTATATAACACTTTTGGGAGCGGCTTTCTTTTTCACAAAATTTTGAGTATTCATTTTCCAGTAGTCTTCGACGAGCTGAGGAGGCTGAAAAAAGTGCTGAAATGGCTAAGTCAAATATGGAGCAGGCAGAAGTGGAAGCAGCAGAATGTAGAAAACAAGCCGAACGCATGCTGGAAGTAACAAAACAGTTAACAGAAAGGAATTCTTCGCTATCTTCGGAATGTGAAATATTAAAAGAAAAAGTAAGGGCGTTAAATAACGATCTTATCCTTTTATTTACTTTTATTTTTTATTTTTCGTTATTTTTTATCTTCCGCTAGTAGCGTTCTGAAACTTTTGAGACTTTTTGAAGCTAAATTCTTCCTTATTTAATATTTGTTGCTAGTCGGCAGTATTAAAATATTTTTGCCTTTAATCTTTTGATTTTTGAAAGGTCTAGGATATTAAATTTTGGAGCATTTTCTTTTCTTTTGGGCAGTCCCTTGTAAATTTTTTTTCGGTCGGAAGATATTACTATTTATTATTACTTGGTTCATTACGAGTGGTTACGTTAAGTGATAAAGCATTAGAACAATTTGATTTTTTGATTATTCAAAGGATTTTTTCTAGTTGAAAGTGTCAGACGACACTCTTCTGAAGACAAAGGAAGAAGAGTCCAAGCTGAAATCCCTTTTGGAAGAAACTAAAAAAAATCGGGACCTTTTGGAAAGTTCTAGTTCAGTGGAAATAGATGGTTTGAAGTCCACAGTTAAGGCAAGAAGTATTGAAGGTATTATGTTTTGCATTTGCTTCTTTTATTATTAGTAATCTTCTCTTTTCTTATTCCCATTTCATTTTTTATTTTTCAGTCGAAAGTTTGCTTCAGAAATTGGAGGAGGCAAATAACGAGAAGGAAGTAATTAAGAAGAAGAATGCGTCTTTTATAAAAGTAGTAACATTTTTTGTTAATTCGTATGGTGACAGCGGTGACAGATTTAGATGTAAGTGGTATTTTTGAAATACGTATTTTAAGGAATTGCGGGCAGAGCTGCGAGATCTCCGGAAGAAAAAACCTAATGCTGACGCTTCTCCAAGTGAATTGCGTGAGCCTGAAAATATATGTGTCGTCACTAATGGTTCAAATTTTCTGCTTTTTTTTCGTTTATTTACCTGGAGTAGTTGGCAAAAAGTTTTCACTACAATATCAAGTTTCTTTTCTTTATGAATTGTAATCATTTTTCACTAGGAAGATTGTTTAGGTGAATCAGCCTCTTCTCGAGCTTCTTCCGTTTCGTCTGTTGATTTGAATTCTAAGGTTACGACTGGCTCACCTCCTCCCACAGTCGAACAGGGTACAAATGGTATACAAGTACAAATGGTTGAGAAGATTGTAAAGCTGCAAAAAATGCTTGCGCGGAAGCAAGAAAAGATTGAGTTCCTTGAAGAACATGTGCAGCAGTGTACTCATGAGCTGTGTAAAAAAACAAAGTAAGTTGGCTGCTTCTGCCTTCAGTTTCTTCTGAGCAAAATTTTTCAAGTTTTATTTTATTGCATGGTTCTGTGAGTTTTTAGGATTATTCAAAATTATGCTTTGCGTGAGGAAGCTGCGCTTCTTATGCCTGCTGACGATGGCTTAAGCAAGGTAAATTCTTAGCTACCCAAGCGGGTTAAAGTGTATCGTTTCACTTCTCATTTTTCATTTTTTGATTATAGTAGAAAATGCTTCAAACTCTCCTACTTCTGTGTTACAATCTTTTGCTTTTCTCAGCTTTTATCAATGTGCGAAGTAGTGCCGGTGAGTTTGAAGATCTTCCTGTGCACCGTTTTTTGTTCTTGCTTTTTGTCGTTTTGTGTCTTTGCTTTCGGTATTTGTAACTTTATTAGTTCAAAAGTCGTGACGTAATTACTCGTTTTTGCCTTACTAGCTTTACTTTAAGCTTTTTACTGTGGTTGTGCATTTTTAAAGTTTTTGGCTGTCTTTGTTGAGTAATTTGCGATACAACCTTTATAGCTTTTTAAAACAGCATAAGAAAGCTGTTAACCTTGTTCCTATGACTGCCTGAACCAATCGATATTAATAATTGACTAGTTGTTGCTTGTATTTTGACGAAGGTTATATTTTTGCTTTTATAAGTGATTGTCCACGATTTTCCAGGTGCCACTGAACAGACGCACAGGAGGTGCCTCGCTAATGGGAAGTATGTTTTCTTCTGGTGATAAAAAGACGGAATTAGAGCTCGCTACAGAAGTTAATTCTCGGCTTCAGGCGGTGTTAGAGGACACATTGTACAAAAATATTACTCTGAAGGTAGTTTTCGATTGTCACTTCCAAACTACTCTGCTTTTAATAGTTTAGCCGGGAATTAAAGTGTATTCATTTATTAGTTATCATTTCTTGCAATCATTTCAAAAATTTTTAGACTAATCTTGATATGTTGGGCGAGGAAATAGCGCGTCTTTCCCGTGAGAACCGTCAACTTTCGCTGCAAAAAACGTATGATTCTTGACGCATTTTCACTTTGTTTTCTTCATTTTTTTTTTATTCTTTGACTTGTTTATTTCTTTAAAGTTATTGTTGTCTTTTTCGTGTTGTTTCATAGAAATTGTTATTTTTTTCTTGACGTTTCTAGTCATCTCTTGAATATGCATATTGGTATTCTATCATTGTGGTTAGAAAGCAGTGATTACGACTTTTTAAATATTTGTGCTGCTAAACGGTTCTTTTCAGGATAAATTTACTTTCGCTTAACAATTAAAGGTGTAGTTAGGTCTTATTTTGCCCCAATACGAGATGCCACAAACTTGGTAGTGAGATGAGACATGGTCAGTGACATGTCTCGTGCTGAGAAATGCAACATGTTTATCAGAACTTTAAATGAATGTCTTCTTCAATTTTGAAAGTAGGTAAATTTTTTAGCAGGAAGCATTACTGATGGTTTTATGTATAAGATAATAGCTGCTTATCCATAAAGTTTATTTAGTTTTTAAGTTTTTCATATTGACCTTTAACGTTTTATCTGTTTAGTTCCAAGCATCATTATGAGCAGTTTTTTCTTCTTTTTTTTTTT